CGTACCATATCCACGTACATGTTGTATGCTATGGTGGACCATTCCCGTAGCACTACGTGTGTAGGTTGTGTCTGTGAAGAAGAGCAAATTGGTGAGCATCCAAGAATTCATGGGGAGTGCAAACAGTGCTGGAGGCACACGCAGGGGTCGGACTGAAAAAACCTATGAACGATGTCTCCTTTTCGGGTAGTGCTCTGAGCCGTGTCAGGCTTTGTCGTATTTCTGCTCTGAGAATACGATACTTTTCAGTGATATCGGTTCAGCTCGATGTTTTATGATACTGGCACAGAAATACCAGACACGGCATTTGCTTCCGCTACACAGTAAAGTAATGACTCACCAAAGTAACGTCTATTGAATCTGTGCCATTCTTTTCAGGTCCGAGTTGGAGATTTTGCCGCTGTCTGCGAACCTCGTTTCCCTGATAGAGAGTTTCTCTGTGGAACAGCAACCCCAGTTTTCGTTACGGACACGAGGCTCATGCGAGTACGAGCTTCTCCGTTACCGGTGGCCATCAGAGAAGTACGACACGTTTGCTATACCTGACTTGCAGTTCGCGTGGTTTATAGGTACCCGATAACTCAAGTTTTGCTCACTTTTGTGTGAGTGGAAAGATCGAATTATCGAACGTTTCATGGCCATTATGTTGCGGTATTACACGAAATCAAGAAGATGGAGGCTCAAACGGGTGAAGAGTGAGGAATGTTCTGTCTTGATTAATCCGGAGCGTTTAGAAACTTCCCCGTTCGCCCCGACGAGTCTCGTTTCCTTTCTATCATTTGCGAGCGCCCTGACGGGAAACCGCTAGCAGTGTCCCACCGTCGATATCCATTTGGTCTGCGATCGACTCCCTTTTGGTGGAGCCCATATGGAGGAAGCCGTTTGAGAATTTATCGCTGACTGACCAGGGATTACTGCTCAGCTCAGATCATTCATGTGGATGATCTGACCATATTTGCTCCTCGCCGATTGTTGAGTTTGCTGGGCGGGATTCACTCCCTCTTGGCACTGCTGAGTTGGCAGTAACGCTCGGATTTCCCTTGAGTTCCCCGAAGATGCTGATAAGGAATTGTGTTGATCTATGCGAGCTGTCGAGCTAGTTTGGACTACTATTCAGAAATTCTGAATCAGAATTCTTATTTTCAGTTATTACTAAGTACAGTCATGAGTCCTCATCCATCAGCGTCTGTAGGTGTCCCGGATCTGAAAGCTTCTATCATACTAAAAGATATAGAAGGAGTGTTGGACTCAGGAATCTGCACACTAAGAACCGCTCGGAAATGTAAGAAGGCTATACCGCGATGCTATAGCTCTGCTCCGAGGATCTCGCTCCTACTACGGCAGTTTGCTCTATTTCTATCCGACTTGTCAGTGCCAGGCTGGCACTGCCAGCATCTTATCGCGTAGAACATGTTTCAGGAGAGTGCAATACGGCTGCTGACATTTTTTGTCGTAACTTTCATTCGGAATCCGAGTTTCGGATGAGATTCCACTATCCTGGAAGAGTCAAGATATCTGCAAGTATTTGGAGATACTCGACCCATCATCATAGTCACTCCCTCTCTCGCGCAACTATGTTGAGTAAGCGTCTGGTCATCAGACATCTTTGTGTTGCCATCCCCATTACCCTCGTGTGGGATTAGCGGGAGCCTCTCGTTGACTAACACTACTCGGAAGTGCCATTTGGACTCAAAAGAAGAACTACTCAGTCTCATGATCTCTTATATAAACTTAACCCTCATCCTAAGAACTTGAATCGTCGTAAAAAGGGGCCATCCGGCCATAGCGAGATCGATCTGATGAGCATGAGTACGCGTGCACAAGCACGCATGCGCGACGAAAAGGGAGCCGCTCTACAATGGAGCTGGCGTGGTCTGTTGTGATCGACCATCCTTTACTCTACATGCCCCCCGGATGGAAGATTACAAGGACGAACGTTGGCATAATGAGTTTCCTTAATCAATTGGGATGTGACCTCGTCCGGTGGGATCGAGGCATTAACTAATCTCAGAACAACCCCGCGTACAATCTCATGCACGCGGTACACATCAGGAGCGTACCTACCGCCGCGTCCCAGTGTGTCAGGGTTGAAAAGAACAACAGTTGAGCCGACCGGTGGCGGTCCCTTCCTGCGGAGACCACGGACATCGCTCAAGACCTGCTCGCGAGCTGCGATAGCAGCTTTGACGAGCTTGGTAATTTCATCGCGGACCTCTGCTCTAGCAACGGGGGCACCACCGTCAACAGCCCCTTGTGCAAGCGAATTCTCAGGGCTCAACCGGGATACACGACCGTAGAATATCTCAAAAGGTGAAAGGTCAGTGTCCAAAAAAGGCTTACAATTGAGCCGACGGATAACCTTCCCTAACGTTGTTGGCCAGGTCTTCTTATCACCGAGCTGCCTCGCCAGGAACTTGACACTGGCGACAGCGCGCTCTGCTAAGCCGTTTGAAAAAGGAGCATATGGCGACACCACCCGATGCTCCACTGCTCTTAGCGAGAGCATTTCAGCTAGTGGACGTCCACGGAAACACGGGCCTCCGTCAGTGCGAAGCAAGGCCGGAGCGCCCAATAAATCGAAGAGGCTAGCCATCTCGGTCGCCACTGTGGCACTTTTCTGATCCTTCAAAGGGGATACCACAGTGAATCCGCTAAAATGGCACGTCAGCACCAATACCGCGCAAAGTCTGCGCTTGCGATCCCAGCCCATCTCGGCAAGGTCAGCTGAAACCGTATACCAACACTCCTGCACGCCAGTGCGAAGAGAGCGAGCTGAGTCAGTTGTGGAATAAAAGCGCCTGTTAGATGACAAACGACACCCTTCACAGGTGCCGCACACAACCTCAATGAAGGAACGGAGCCGAGGTATATGAAAGCATCTGGACACCAACCATCGTATGTAACGACGATTAAGGCAGCCAGTTTCACGATGGTATGCATCGACGATCGAATGTGCGTGCTGCTTTCCCTCGGAAGTATCCGTGGGAACATAATAACATGTACGAGTCGCGGAGACTCCGTTCACCTTCGGGGTTTGGGACCTCTTCATTAGAAGACCATCGTCAGCCAAAGAGAAATCAGGAAGTTCTGCCGCCACTCCCGGTATCGGGGCTGTAGCGGGCCCTACCGGGGCAACGTCCGGTGGTGGGGATGAACCGAGGGATCTGAGTATAAAGTTGGCCGTCGGGGAAGCCCACTGGAGAGCGAGGAGCCGCTGCCTGGATGGTCTTCCATGCTCCATACCGAACTCCAGGACGCCTTGCGATGCTGGATGGACTGTTGCAATGACCCTTAGCTGATTCTCAACGTCACATACGGTGGGATAATCTTCAGAGGAGCCTGAGCCGCCGTCTTCATCAAAAACCGCGACCGCTTTGGTGTGCATCACACCGCGACCTTCGAAGATGATACTGTCGGGGATACCCCAGGAAAAAGCGAGCCTGCTGAGGCTGTCCGACTCGGAGTTCTGCTCCGCAGGGATATGCAACAGCTCGGGGGTCAACATGTACTTCCGTTGCCAGGCCTCGCGCACATCGGCGATAGCTTCGCAGAGCCGAGATATTGCGAGACGGTCGACCGACTTGCATGTGAGCTTCGAGCCACCTCGTAACCATGAAAGCGCGGTTCGTGAGTCGGAGAGAAACTTCAGACCCAGGCCATTAAGATAAGGAACCAACGCGTCGGCGAACACGTGCGCTGCTGCCAGTCCGTAAGCCTCTTTACGGTTTTGGTGCCAGTTGAGCATCGGTCCGCGCAGGGCTCTGGCTCTGCTGGAGAGAGCCACACGAGACGAACTTCCGCTAGACAGCGTGGCGATAAATCCAATGCCAAAGGGACTGGCATCACAGGCGACCTCCAGGGTGTCCGCCACAAAGCTGACCTCATGGTCACAATCTCTCGAACGAGCGCTGAGGATGCCGATAGCGATTGTTAGCGTCTTAGCCTCGTCCTTCCCCAGAGGAACATCTTGGTCCCAGCCTGCTTTCCACTTACCAGATACTCTCCGTATATAGTCGGCTGCCAGGCCCCTGTCGCCGTGAAGACCAAGAGGATCAAAGGCGGCACCAGCCGCTCGGAACAGGGAACGCTTGCAAACTCTTTGGCCCTCTCTGAAGGTCTGAGAGTGCGGATCGGAGTCGGTAACGCACCGAAGAACTAGGGTCCCTTGACCGGTTGGGTGGTCTTCACGATACGTAAAGTCGACGCCAAGGTGGCGGAAGGAGTCGAATCTTTCAACCTGCCCTTCCGAAGAGAACGTCAGTAAATGACACTTCGCAGGGGTGAACTCAAACCCCCATGAGCCACCCAAGCAGATGATCTCCGACTTGAGGCGCTGGACGGCCTGGTGTCCGCCAAGTAGGCAGATATCATCCACATACTCCCAGTGGAGTAGCAGAGGATCGTTGATTTCGGAACTCACGCGCAGCATGGCGTCATCGATCAAACATGTGAGTGCTTCGCGTAGCACTGCCGGACCACAGCGAAGCCCAAATACCAGTCGACGTGCCACAAACCGGCGACCGAGCGACCTGATCACAGCGGTGCGGTCATGGAGCCTGATTCTATAGAAGGCGGTCGCCGCGTCCAGGGTACAAAAGGATAAGCGCTCTGGCTTGGCCCCTTCCTTTTGCCTCTGTCTCGCCGCTCGGGCGATCGCCGCAATGGCAACACGGACTTGGGCAAGGATGACCGCGCAAGAGTCGCCTGGATAAGAACTTGGCGGCGAGATAGCATTTCCCCGGCGCAAATCAATGCATGGCCTGACTTTCACACCTTGTACCACTGGAAAGGCAATGGCCTCGGGTAGGGCGACCCCACCCTTGCCGTCAACCCCGTCTTCGTGCAGAGGTTCCCACCATCCGCGGGACTGAAACCGCTCCAGCTCTTCATGGTACGACTCCTGCTGGGGGGAGTCGAGTGCCGCGAAAAGGCTTTTCGAGTAGTCATAAACCGGTCCTTGCCGAACGAGTGGGGATGATGTCCAGCGGACCTCCACCGCGTGTGTCTGCTCTGGGCAGTCCTTCGTCTCTGACTCGGCAAGCAATCTTAAACGGATAGAATAGTCCGGTGCTGCCTTTGACTGGCGCCAGTTTTCGGTGAGCCGAGCGGAACTGTTCGGAAGCGTAGAGCGTGTGCGATAGGTCGAAGGGGCATCAAGCAAAGTCTCATTGGAGAGCTCCTCGCACCGCAGAAACAAATTGTCGCTATCCTCAACGACCATTACTGATAGGTCCTCGTTCTCGAGAACCACGAAGTGGAGACGACCCTCCTCCTCCAGCCTTGCCGGGGCAAGCTCCCCCTGGCGCTGGGCGGGGCTGCGAATCGTCACCTGGCGGCTTCCGTCCACCTCGTCAAAGTACATAGAAATCTTAAGCGCGCACATGGACTGGACTCCCAGTATGCAAGTTGAGCCATCGACTCCGTTCGGAGACCCCCGTCCGGGAAGCACAAAGAAGTTCAATAAGTGCTCCTTCCCGTGCCGAGTAACCTTGACCTGGACCGTGCCATCCAGCTTCACCACAGACCCGTTCGCGAGCTTCGCGGAAGTCGAACATGGCGTGATGGTCCACCCCCTGAGCGTGGCCAGGTCACGGCCAACGTAATTCCTCACAGCGCCCGAGTCTAGTAGGGCTTTGAGAGGTGCCTGTCCCTTGGGATATAAGGTCAGCATCGGCCCGAGTTGCCTGTGCTGACAGGACTCGGACGACTGTTTGACCACCCAAAGCATCTGTAACTGCTCTTCCTCAACCTCTGAGGATCGAGATAGAGCGGACTCTTCCGGGTCCCCATCGGGTGCTATTGCTTGGAGAGACTGTGAGGAAGAGGCTTGGGAACGTCCGTGGCCACCACCCTTTGAGGCGGCTTTGTCATCCGTACAGTCGTGGCGAAACTTACATGCGCTACCAAACCGACAACGCCCTTCAGCCGCCCATCGGCGACACTCTGTAGGGCCTAGGTGTCTGAAAGGGCACCGCTCTCCCTTTGTACATTTGCCTCTCAGTGAGTTCCGGCAAAGCTCGCCTTTCGAGGAGGAAGTTGGCGTTGCTGATGACGCACGTCTGGCGTAGGGTGCCCCCTGTCACCGGCTGCAGTCGGGCGATTGCTTTCGGCGGGTTGCGGGGCTTACTCGCCCGGTCAGCATCGGCTCTAGCGACGCGAGTGAGAGCCTTGACTCGAAAGCGTGACATGTCCCGGGATACTCATAGGAGGCCTCCTGGCAGTTCTCATCATTTACACCACGGCGAAAGGCGCGGATAATAAGGGCGTCAGTGAGCGGAGTCCCTGCGAGTGAGCAACGTCGTAGCCAGTCATCGAGCCTTCCAATGTAATCAGTCAAAGGTTCTTGTGGGCCGCGCCCCGTAGGCTCAGTCATGAGCTTCTCCGCCTCAAAGTGACCGCCACACTCCTCCTTCAAAGTCGAGTGGATCGCG